TGTGTGTGTGTGTGTGTGTGTGTGTGTGTTCAGTACAGACGTGGTTTCACCATGTTAGCCAGGATAGTCTCGATCTCCTGATCTCGTGATCCGCCGGCCTTGGCCTCCCAAAGTGGTGGGATTACAGGCGTGAGCCACCGCCTGTAATCACCTGGCTGAGACATAGATTTCTAAACCATTAAAACTACAGGTTTTATACCATGGATAATGCTGCTTACAGAAGCTATCTATCACATTCCTAGGGGAGACCATAGCAATGATTTCCTGTGGGAATGTGGACAATTCTTATTCCCAAAAACCTTATGTTTGTTTAAAACGTCACTCTTACAGAAAAAGATGCACCTCTGAATATCCTTTGATCTTAGCCAATCTTTTTTAAAAAAGTATACATAGATACTGGTCTTTTAGAATTGTTCAATGCTCAGTATTGCTCAAAAACAGCCCCTCCATAACAATTTATTTTCAGATAAGATTTGGTCCCTTTAAAGGAAATCATTAGAAATGGACCAAAGGATACGGAATAAGAAGGCCACCCAGCAACCCCCTACAATCACAGTCATCCACACAGGAGGCACCAACACCTGGTTTGTAGACAAGTGGTTCACTGCAATGCAAAATAAATTTTATATGAACAGAATAAGCCACTTGAAAATCTTACTTTCCAAGATGGCCCCATTTAGGGGTCTGAGGGTCCACAGAATTAGTCTAGTTCTGCTGGAACAGTACAGATTCTAAAATGCCTAATAAGGTTGCAATGATGACTGAAGGCTTTTCCAAACTCATCACACTCATGTTCTCTCTCCAGTGTGGATTTTCTGATGTTTCTTAAGAAGGGTCCGCTTACTAAAGAGTTTACTGCACTGACTGCACTGATAGGGTTTCTCACCAGTGTGGACTCGGAGATGCTGGAAAAGCCCTGCATTCTGAATGAAGGCTTTGCCACACTCACGACACTGATAGCGCTTCTCTCCAGTGTGTATCCTCTGATGCTGAACAAGGCATGAGCTGAGAAGGAAAGCCTTTCCACACACTTTGCATTCATATGGTTTTTCCCCTGTGTGGATTCTTCTGTGTCTAGTGAGGCCATTGCTGGCACTGAAGGCTTTCCCACACTCCTTACACTGATAGGGTTTCTCTCCAGTGTGGCTCCGCCGATGTTCATTCAGGCTTGACCTCCGGCTGAAGGCCTTCCCACATTCTTCACATTCATATGGCTTCTCCCCAGTGTGGATTCTCTGGTGCTCAATGAGTACTGAACTCTTAGTGAAGCTTTTCCCACATTCATTGCACCTGTGGCGTCTCTCTGCAGTGGAATGTCCCTGCTGCTTTTCTGCCCTGCTGTCTTGTTTATAAGTTTCTCTGTACTTAGAATCCAAAGATATGTCTCTTTGGAGTCTGCTATCCTGCAAATGTTCCATTTCTTTTAAGATTTCTTGCTTTGATGCCAACTCCTGGTTCTCAGGTATACTTTCACCATCTGGAATAATAAGTGGACCAAACAATGTAATCTCTTTCCTTTATGAAAGAACACAATCATAGGATGGAAATAGAAAGATCCATATCAAACAGACATGTTCTAGGAATGAAGAACTGCCAGTTAAGGAGGGGATTGGGTTAAACAGGGATGTTTAAGCTAGTAGAGTAAGGTCATCAGCACTGCTGAAATGGCTGGAGGGAGCACCCAGAGGCTCCCAGAGAGGATGCACATAAGCAGGCACTATATTATATTCATTACAAGGCAGGCACTGTTCTAAGTGTTTTACATAGGTTAATTTATTAAATCTCAAATGACTCTGTGACTGACGTGCTATGATTATCTCCACTTAAAATATGCATAAACTGAAGACACCAGGAGGTTACCTGACTTGTCCATTGTCACAGAGTTATTAAATGCAGCGTTTAAATTCCAACCCAGGCAATTTAGCCCCCAAGTCCACAGTCTTAACTATTGCCCTATATAGACGCGCCAGAGATCTCCTGAAAGGACCTGTCAAAATCCTTACCTTGTTCTCGAAATTGGTGGAGGCGAAAAGATTCATATTTGAGCTGTGTCACCATAGGCTGAAGCTGGATGTCTGTTGGTTCCTGCTTGACCTTCAGATGTTCCACCTCCTCCGAGAGCACTTCAGAATGTCCATGTTCATGGTCTAGAGCCTGAAGGCAGGTAGGCACATTTCGTTCATAAGAGGGGGATTATAGGAGTCCAAGCTAATATGAAATGAAAGATATCACATGGAACTATATGAAGCATTTTCTAGAGAGATGTCACAGTGGAAGGACCAGAGTTTAATTCCATACCCAAAAGCAAAACAGGGAAGAGTGGCCCAATTTAGTTTGGTGGTTTAAAATAAATCCACCAGGTAGAATCGAACTGCCCATCCCCAGCCTCCTGAATGTGGGCTATACTTGATAGCTCAACTCTACTGAATAGAAAGTGAGGCAGAAGAGATGGTATATAACTTCTGAGTCATAAAAAGCACTGTGGCTTTTTCCGTTCTCTCTCTTTCTCTCCTTCTTCCCTCTGGAGGAAGCCAGCTGACATGTTGTGAGGGCACTCAAGCAGCCCCATGAAGAAAACCAACATGGTAAAGAACTAAGACCTCCTGCCAATAGCCGGTGAGTAGCTGAGGCCCCCTACCAACAACTGTACCAGTGAACCATCTCGGAAGTGGATCCACCTACCTGAATCTTGTCTTCAGATGACTGTAGTCTTGGCCATTAAGGTTTAGGGGTAATTTGTTACACAACAGAGAACTAATACATATAGCTATAGCCAACCAACCTGTGTCACCAAACCCCACCTTTCATTTAGTATTTAATGTCTAGAAGTCCATCTTTGTCCTCTCACCTGGTTCCCTGGCTCACTAAGCTCTTGTTCCAGATCTTCGACTATAGCCACAGCCTCCTCCCCACTCTCTGGATGGTGCTCCCGCACCCAGGCCTGGAGCTCCTGAGGCAGGATAGTCAGGAACTGCTCCAGCACCAGCAGCTCCAAGATTTGCTCTTTGGTGTGGATTTCTGGCCTTAGCCACTGACGACAAAGTTCTCGGAGCCGGCTCAGAGCTTCTCGGGGACCAGGAGTCTCTTGGTAACAAAACTGCCTAAAAAGTTGTCGGGAGGCTTCTTGGCCAGAAAAGTTGTTCACTTGAAGGTGGGCTTCTTGATCCCAGGTAGGGTCTTCCTCCACTTTCACAATCTTAAGATCGTACTGTTCCTCTGTTGAAGCCATTCCTGGGGTTAATTTAGAAGGCTTACTCTGGCTTTAGGTGAAAGGATAACTGTGATTTAAAATTTTCTGATTTAATCTTCCTTAGAAGACACCTGATGATAGAGCATTATATATTAATGGAAATAAATCATAAAGTAGTGGGGAAAAAAGCAAAGTATGGAAATATGAATGGTATTCTATCATTTATGTTAATACAATGTATATATAGTTACTGACTTACATATGTTTAGCAACTGGGAAAAGGTTATTCCAGAGTACGTTAATGGCCTCAAGTCTTCCCCCTTCCCTGTAGCCATGTATTAATATTTTGCAGTGCCCTTCCATTGTGACACTGAATTCAACAATATGACTTGATTTTGCCAATGATATTAGCAAATGTGATGCATGCAGAGGTTTGAACAGTACTTGTATAACTGGGTTTGCTTACTCTTGCCCTCTGAAATTGCCAGAAGAAGGATATTTTTTCAGATGATAAGAGACATGTAGGACAGAGCCAGATCACCCCAGTGGAGTAGATGAGACCATCCTAGATTAGTTGACAGCCAGCTAACTGCCAGACATGTGAGCAGGCCTAGCCTGAGGTCTGCAGAGCTGCTGAATGCAGATGTATAAATAGGGCCTGCCCATCCTAGGTAAGCTATGCCCCATATACTCACGTGCTATACATAAGTTTATCACTATATGCCACTCATGTTTTGTGGCTATTTATTATACCACATTATTATGGCAACAGATAACTGATATAGAAGGGTGAACCTCTGGGAAGGAAAATTAGGTAACTGTGGAATAAAAAAGCAAGAGATATTTACTTTTTGAGCACAGACATGATGCTAAAAGGAAATGCTCATTGCAGCATTTCATATTTCAGATTTTCAGATTAGGGATCTGTTAAGTCTAATGCAAATATTCCAAAATCCAGAAAAATCTGAAATCCAAAATACTCTGATCCCAGGGGTTTTGGATAAGGGATACTCAGTCTGTAGAAGTGATTTAAAGGCCTGGGCAATATATTTATATGGTAGATCTAGGAGGAGAACAGGATATATAAAACTAGCTATAATATCAGATGATTAATGCTGTAATAGAGGCCTCGCCAGAATATTCAGGGAGTAAAGAATAGAAAAAATAATTTCTGACTGGGTATGGAACATTGAAAGAATATGACTTAGGGGCAAGTACATTTGAATTAGGCTAAAATCATGAACAGGAATTTATCAGGCAGAGAAAGGAAGGGATCCGCCATCATAAATCAAGCAAACAACATGAGGAAAGGTATTTAAGGGCACACACAATGGCGATAAGGACAGGCAAAGCTGAACTATAGAATATGGGTTGTGGGTAAAAATGTGAGAGATGAGGTTAAAAAGATGCATTATAGGGGACAGAAAATGGCCTTCAACTCTAGGCTGAGACGTTAGACTTTACTATATGGAACACTGAGAGGCAAGGCTTTTATTTCATTGTCATGGTGTTAGATCTGTATTTTAAAAAAATATTGAGTAAGATTCAGGATGGAAATGGTAAGAATATGTTGCAGCGTTGTGGCCTTTTAAGTTGGGGAGTTTAATGGTAGTTACACTGATACAATGTTGACTTTAGTGGTGTAATTTAAGTTTTATCTGACTTTTGCCCAATGCTAATGGAATCATTAAGGTCTGAGAGCACTTGGAAGTTTTTCAGTTACACTTTATTGGGTGAAAATGCATTTATTCCATTCATTCATATATCATGTGTCTGTTAGGTGTCTGGAATAGTGTTGAGGTGCTTAGTTCAAAATGGTGAAAGGAAAGGTCCCTACCTTTATGGTATTTACCGTGGGAAAGACAGACCTTAATAAAATATTCACATAAAATTATGTTATAGAATTGAGAATTTGAAGAGTTACAAAGACCATGGCATTTATTCTTTGTCAATGTCCAAGGCGATATGTATATCTTTTTACTCCTTACTGTATTATCTGGTAATTTGGTTTGTTGAGTCTTCAGTTCAGGAAGACTGAAAGTCTGACAGTTTCTAATTATGAATTTGTATTGGATTCCATTATTATTAAACATGTAGCTTCTCATGGCCTTAGGTTTATAGTCAAAAATTGTTCTGCAAATATGGGTTCTGCACTTTAATGCTATTGAGAAACCATGGAGATACAGCTGGCTCTTTTTATTTTGTTTTTTTGTTTTCTGGATCACTACAGGCAATCTCTCACATACCCAAAGCCACAGGTGGAGTATTCCTCCATCAGTTGTATTCTTCTCCCCACAATTGGTGCTTAGGATTTACCTCCTGGTCTTATGCCACCATGAACTGTCTTTATCCTTAATGCATAGCACAGTGCCTGGCCCACTGTCAGTGCTCCAGAAATGTTTTCCAGGCAAATAAATATATTCTCCCCTCCTATATCCCCTTTCACTTCATCAAGCCATGGTAAGGACAGGGAAGGGAACACAGAAGAGAAAATACACTCTTTATTCTTGTCCCCCAAACCACCCCTGTTCCCAGGATGTATATGCATTACCCTATGTTCCCCAGTCCTCCCATCTCTTCCTATCTCCTCTCCCAAACGGCTACAGATTACAGACACTTCTTATTTTTAAAATGCCTAGAGGACTTACAAGTCTGGACTTGCCACAAAATTATGAATGCATCTTCAATGTTTTGTTTACCTGATTTATTTGATTAAATGCAAATTTGGTGTCATCTGATATCCTAGCAGGGAACAAATACTTGACAGACATCTGACAAATTAAATGGAATAAGCTATTTAAAATCATCTTTAGTGAAGCACTGCAGTACAGTGAATAATGTTCATATCCTGTGACCTCTCTAAGCAGTAATGATCATAGTACTCCTCTTATAAGTGTTGTGATTATACAAGGTAATGCATATAAAAAGCTTAGCACAGCACCTGGCCCATAGCAATTATTACATAAATATCAATGAGCAGGTATTATTAGTAAAGTAGTATTAGTAAATTGAATATATTCATAGAGGAAATAAACCCAATAAAATAAAATATTGACGTCATGTGTTAATACTCAGTGGACAGTTGAAAATACTAGAAGAAATATTCCAGAAAATCCAGGACAGACAGTGACCAGTGGTGACCTCCCATTTGTGTACTGAAGCCCATCTCTAGATCCCACCAAGGGTATCCCCCTGAACATCCCAACAACAGCTCAAAAGCAACATTAAAAATCAGATTCATTTTTCCAGGGTGATATGAAACAGGCCAATTTATGACTAATTACCAATTCACTCCAAACATTTGGCATTGGAAGATGATATATAAAAGGGGATAAAGAAAAAGATATGGCCAGCTACAAATACAAGACAAAAATCTCAGTGGACCAGAAACAGAAACACAGAGTAGTTAGTGGAGTTGATGCTGTGGGCTAACTGACTTGACTGCAGAAACAGTCAAAGACATCCTAGAATTCAACTCCTGCAGGATTAAATGTGGTATGTCTCAGCTTGTAGGGAACCAGGCTCACTGTTTCATGCCAGGGCATGAAAGGGGGATAAAAAAATAAAAGGCAGTTGACTGCTGACTCAACTTATGACTTTATCAGCAACTAAGGCTCAGGAGGCAAGGGACAAGGAGAGACTCATTACTAGTAACTGATCCATTTACTTGCTCATTTAGTCAATAAATGTTCATTGAGCACCCATAACATACCAGGTACTTGGCTGGGCACTAGGGCTACAATGGTGAAAAAGATGGGACCAGGCCCTGTTTTGCTGAAGTATATATTTTAACAGGGAAGACAAACTGAAAATAAAAGCAACAACAAAAATAAGTAAGGAGGCAAATAAAATAATTATGAGTTGTGATGATTACTTTGAGGAAAATAAACAAGGCACTGAGTTACCAAATACATGTAGCCTATTTAGATGAGGTGGTGGGAGGTGACGTAACATTTAAGCTGAGCCCTTAAGTGCAAAAGAAGTGAGCCATACAGAGTAGGGATGAGGGAGGGGAAGAGCACTCTGGACTATCCAAAGGCCCTGAGGAAGTGCATGCTGCCATCAAAGACAGGAGAGGAGGCTGGAGTGTCTACAGTCATGTGGGAGAAGAGTGGCAAAATATTAGGCTGGCAAGACAAGCAGGAGTCAGATCATGTAGGGCATAGGAGTTAGGATTTTATAAATGCAATAGAGAAACCACTGAAGGCTTTAAGAAAGGAAGTGACAAGGCTGAATTATGTACTGAGAAGCTCTGCTACTGGATGGAGAATGAGCTGAGGGAATGAGGGTAGAGGCAGGAGTGGAAGAAGAAAGCAAGAGTAGAAGCAGAAGAGGCAAAAGTTGAAAAAAGGGTAAAGTGGAGGGGGTGAAGGCTATTGCACTGAATCTGGAAAGACTTCCACTTAGTTTAGATGTTACTGTACACATGAAAGGAGAAACAGCTTAACCTTTGTAAAAGCAGTTCAGTCACTGGACAATCAATTTATGGAGCTGTGCTAAGAGCTGGGAATACACAGGTGTTTATAGCTCATGAGGATATAATTACAATACAATAAAATAAAAGCCATAATTTGAAAAATGTATACAAGGTATACTCCTGGAGGAAGTGGGAGAGCTCATCCTAAATACAAGATTAAGTTTCTATGCATTGCCTGTAATCCACAAAGGAGTTCATTAATCCGTAAGTGTCTATGAGGTGTCAGACAGCAAAGAGTGAAACAGTGCAGAGTTTGATGTGTCCCCATTGTCCTTCACTGAAATAAAAACATGGCAGAAAGAGCATAAAAGAGAATGTTTTCATTCGTGAGAACGTTATCTCACATCAGCATAATTAGCAACAGCAACAAAGAGATCATGTAAATCACAAATCATCTGTGTTGTAAAATACATCCCAAAGGATAACCAAGTACGATGACAAGAAAACAGAGGAAGAACTTAGATATCATGAGGAAACAGTCAAATCAAAAATTGGGGATGCACTACAGGAAGACTGGAAGAGCCTCCTTTTCAACAAGGCAATGGGATGGGAGGAAGGGAGGCAATGGGATGGGAGGAAGGGAGGCAAAGGGTAAAATTGCCCTAGATTAAGACTTAACTACATGCAGTGAGTGGTCTATGATTGGATGCTAGTTGGTACAAACAGGTGTAAAAGACATCTGTGGAACAACAGGGGGTGGAGGGATTTAAGCATGAACTAGGTGTTAGGTGAAGCGCCTACACTTAGTTGGGTGTGCTAATAATATTGTGGCTATGTAGGGAAATGTCCCTAATTTTTAGAGATGCATTAGAAACTAGAGGTGACAAGTTATGAGGTTTGTGGTTTTACAATATTTAAAGAAAACATTATATGCGACAAACATTGCATAATGTTGACTTATTAAAAAAAGTTACGTGTATATAGGAAATAAGGCTTTTGAATAAGGCTTTTGACAGGGAGCGAAGTCCACCCCTTCTCTACCTCTCGACCTCGGTTTCGCTGCTAAAGCTCCGCCCTCTCTAGGGGTCTCTCCCACCACCCTGTGAAAGGAGCTACCTAGCTTGCCTTAAGTAGATAGCAAGGGAAGGGTCCCTGGAGAGCCCGCCCTCGTCCATGGGTCAGTGTCTCATCTCCACATAGCATAAAACGCAGCCTGGGAAAAAATTCACGTTGCAGACACCGATAAGGGAACTAGCACAGGGTGTTGTGCCTATAGATATGCCCACGGCTGCACAGATAGAAAAACCTCGGGCCGTTTGGATAAAAACTTGCACAGAACCTCCAGCTCACTCAGATAAGAGAACAAGGCCTGGCACAGAAATGCCTTTGTCCTTTGTATAGTCAGCAGGTTCCCAGGAAAAGTTTCTTCTCCTTTGTGGGTATGGGCACGGTGGGCTCTGGTAGGTTCCGGCGGGAGCTCTACTTTCTTTCATTAGCACGATAAGCCCAGCCTCTATGAATCATCGCCTCAGCCCCTGATTGGTCCGGGCCAAGCTTTCACTTCAGATTCTGATAGGTCCTGGGCCAAGCTAAGCCGCATCTATGAATCATCATTTCAGCTCCTGATTGGTCCTGGGCCAAGCTCAGTCAAGCGTTCGCCAAGACAGCCCGCAGACTAAGCGCATTCTTCTTTCCAGTCCACAAAATCGTCAGAACGGGCCCCATAGTGGGTACTCCGGGTTGGGAACCTATCTCTGCTGGCAGAGAGCTTTTTCTTTTCGCTTATTAAACTTTCGCTCTAACCTCACCTTTTGTGTCTGCGCTCCTTAATCGTCTTGGAGGCAGGACAAAGAGCTCCGGACGTTATCTCAGACAAGGAAAGGCTGTTTAACCTTCAGGATCAGGGGCGGGACCTCCACCTACTCCACCGGGACTTCAGGCCAGTGAATGTGTAGGGGCGTGGGTCACGCCTGCGCAGACGTTCCCTCCCCGCCTACTTCGAGACACAGACCTGAAATGTTCCGGGAGCCTGGCGGGTCGCGACCAGGGACCAAGACTCACCTTCGGGGCACCGGGAAGCTACGGAACAGGTGGCGGGGCTGCAGCACCCCAATGACCGATCAACCGCAAAGGCCGGAAATGCGTCAGCCGTTCTGAGCCCACTGGCTGAAGCCAGGCAACTCTTTCCTTTCTAGGAATTCCAGAGGTGGCTGCATCTTGGTGACTCCCTTATTGCAAAAGCCGGGGCCAAAAATCCCAGCCTCACTGGTTACGAGGCGGAGAAATGCGGCGAGGGATTTCTATGGGGAGCGGCCCCCAGCATTTAGGAGCTAGATGGTCATCGAGACGCAAAACATTAGAGCTGGAAGGTGTTAGGAAGATATAAAGGAAGAGAGCGAGTAACAGGAGGCAATTCCACGGCCAAACAGGTTTATTCACAGGAATAAGCCTGCGAAGAGTTCCAGTCAGGAATCTGGCTGATACTCTGATCGCTTACAAGCTGAGGCTTTTATAATAAACTTCCTATTGGGGAGGGGTTGGGGAAGTGCTGGCCAGTTGGAACTGTTTGCAGACTTTCCAACTGGGGACAGATGTGGTTAGGGTCATTGGGCTCTGTTGCGGTTAGGGCTGTTATGCTCTGTTGAAGCTGAGGGCAGGGTTAGCATTTGCTTTGTTTCTTGAGAACACAGTCATCAAGGTTGTAAAATGGCATCACTATTGTTAGTCCTCACAGAAGAGACTTCATACTTTTTCTGTCTCTAATACTTACCTATGCTTCTCCTAGTCTGTCCACTTCCTCTGGTCTCTTTGACATCACAAAGGGGAGATGGTAATGGTGGGGACGAGAATACAGAGTTGTTTTTGTTGTGGTCTTGTTATTTTGTTTTTTACTCTCAAACCTCTGTCTTCTGGAATCCCAAAGTCTAGAAGAAGAGCGTGTAAACAAGTAACTGCGTAAAACTGATGCATGTGAAATGAAGTAAAATAAAATCAGTGCTTGTAAATCGATGAGGATAGTCTCTGGAACATATAAAATGCTAAGTACGTATGTAGGAAATAAATGTATGCATTAGTTTGAATTCGTGGCATGGAAGAGAGAGGAAGACTAATGGGGCAAAACAAGAAGCAGCAGGAATCTGCCAGTGTGCACTGGAAAAGGAGCAAAGGAAATAAATTTCTGGGAGAGAGAATCAAATGTACAAAAGCAGAACTGGGGTGAGATCCTTTGGTACATCCACAGAACTGGGCTGATCAGCATGACTGGAGAGTGGAATATGTGGCAGGGGCACCAGCTCTTACTTTTTTTGGATCCCTAACCAAGGAATTTGAGCAATCTGATCAAATTTACATCTAGAAATGTTACATTGGCAGCCATGTGGGGATGGACTGTAAGGAAATGAGTCTACAATCAGGGAGACTAGCTAGGAGACTACTACAAGAATCCAGGGTAGAGAGAGTGAGGGCCTGAATCAAGGCAGTAGCAATAGAAATCGAGAAGACAGATAATACATGTTAAGAGGTTGAATTGATTTTTTACAATTCATTCATTCCATGTATAGGAAATCCATATATAGATTTCCATTGAATGCTATCTTTGTGCCAAGGGCTTGCTGGATATAATAATGAAGGACACAAGGTCCTCATCCTCATGGGGTTTATAATGTAATGAGGAATACAGACAGAGGGAGATCCAGTTTATACAATTCAAGAGACCCTACTTGAGAAAAAGAATTCAAAATTACAAGTACAAACATAGGTATGAAAATGGAGATTTAGGTCAGGTGTAATAGCTCACACCTGTAATCCCAACACTTTGGGAGGCCAAGATAGGAAGATCTCTTGAGTCCAGGAGTTCAAGACAAGCCTGGGTGACATAGTAAGACTCTGTCTCTACAAAAAATAAAAAATATTAGCCAGGCACAGTGACTCATGCTATTAGTCTCAGCTACTGGGGAGGCTGGGCAGGGAGAATCAGCAGTTGTAGTAGCCATGATCATGCCACTCCACTCTAGCTTGAGTGACAGACTGAGACACAGTCTCCAAAATTAAAAATATATATATAAATAAAAAAAAAAGAAAAGAAAGAAGGAAAAAGAAAAAAAAATGGAGATTTAGCATGGAAAATGGGCCAGGCATGGTGGTTCACGCCTGTAATCCTAGCACATTGGGAGACTGAGGCAGGCAGATTGCATTAGCTCAGGAGTTCAAGACCAGCCTGGGCAACATGGTGAAACCCCATCTCTACCAAAAATACAAAAATTAGCCAGGCATGGTGGCACATGCCTGTGGGTCTGAGGTGGGAGGATTGTTTGAGCCTGGGAGGTGGAGGTTGCAGTGAGCTGAGATTGTGCCACTGCACTCCAGCATGGGTGACAGAGTGACACCCTATCTCAAAAAATAATAATAATAAATAATAAAAATAGAATGGAAAATACATTCTTTATATCACATTACAATTTTTTTTTTGAGATGGGGTCTCATTCTGTCAACCAAGCTGGGGTGCAGTGGTGTGAGCATAGCTCACTGCAGCCTCAAACTCCTGGGCTCAAGCAATTCTCTTGCTTCTGCCTCCTAAAGTGCTGGGATTAAAGGTGTGAGCTGCTGTCACCACACTCGGCCATACTACAGATTTTAAAGTCTCCCAACCATCACAAACAAATATCAGAAAAATAACAAAATATTTTTATTATTTAACTGCCTGACACCTATAGTAACTCTCCCCTAATTTGTTGGCTTTATGTTCTTGGACTGCTTCTTCATACGTTAATTTCATAATTTAAATTTTTCTAGAAAGAATAAAAAGTTAATGTAGCCTTTCCTCTAGCATAGTTGATCAAAAGCTTTTTAAAATTGTTGACATTTGAGTAAACTTCTATCAAGTTTCTTTCAATTATGACCTACAAGATTTCAGGACATTAAAATTTTTTTATGTGGGGACTAATCTGAGAATCTCTGTGTTGATGACACATTAACTAGTTGGTCTTAGATGTCCTCATTGCCAATGGCATATTATGTTGTTTTTGTCAATATCGGTATTTTGTGTCAAATGTGCAAGAAATTTAAATCTCTTTTCAATGTGTTCAGTGATTCACTTTTCTTCACTAGAGAATTAATCCAAGAGCCTATTTTTTACCATATTCAAAGTTTAGCTTTTTTTCTTAATGAGTTGCTGATTTCATATAATTTGACATTGTTTCTTTTGTTATAATTTGCTTCCTGATGTCAGAATAATTTCCATTGATTTTATTATCTTTCTTTTGTTTCTCATTCCATGAACTTTTTTGGCAGGGGGTGGGGAAGGAGTCTTGCTCTATTTCCCAGGATGGAGTGCAGTGTCTCGATCTCAGCTCATTGCAACCTCTGCCTCCCGGGTTCAAGCGATTCTCATACCTTGAGTATCTGGGATTACAGGCATGTGCCACCACGCCCAGTTAATTTTGTATTTTTAGTAGAGACAGGGTTTTGCCATGTTGGCCAGGCTGGTCTCAAACTCCTGACCTCAGGTGATCTGCCCACCTTGGCCTTCCAATGTGCTGGGATTACAGGCATGAGCCACCATGCCCAGCCTCCATTAATTTTTAAATTTAAATTTGCTCTCAGTTCTTTAATAAATTATTTCATTTTGTAATTTAGCATTTATTGCTTAAATCATGCCAAAATATCTTTTCAAATTGTAGTTAAAATGATTTATTTCTAAGATAGTGTCCTCTTACCAGATGCTAAAATTCTCTGTTGTTATTTCAGTGCCACTCAACAAGAGAAAAATAAGAGATGGGGAGTCAGAAATGGAAACAAACGAACAGTGGTTTAAACACCCGTTGCTAAAATATCCATTTTTTCCCGTCAAATTTTGCAAGTTTATGAACCATGTAAACACATTGCTAGGTATCATTCCAGGCCAGGGCATTTGAAGAAACATGCAAATGTAGAGTCACTTATGCTTTATAGACTTAAAAATAAACCCATTTCTGAATAAGTAAGTGCTGCAGTAGAAATAGACAGGAATCTGATGACTGTTACAGTAATTACAGTACCCATCTTTAATTTATCACAGCCTAATTGGAAATAATATTGTATCACTTCAAATTTTAGTCTTAGTTGCATATTTAACACTTTCCATTTCACATATAGACAGAAACTTACAACACTATTATTCTTTTGCTCTTGCCCATTGATATGGTTTCGCTGTGTCCCTACCCAAATGTCATCTTGAATTGTAGTTCCCATAATCCCTACATGTGGTGGGAGGGGCCCAGTGGGAGGTAATTGAATCATGGGGTGGTTTTCTCCGTGCTATTCTCATGATACTAAGGTCTCATGAGATCTGAGGTTTTATAAGGAGTTTTCCCCTTCACTCTGTTCTCTTCTCTCTCCTGCCACCATGTGAAGAAGATGTTGCTTCTCCTGCCATGATTGTAAGTTTCCTGA